TCAGTTCTGGATTATTTATCTTCGCTACGATTATTCGTATCGTGATTGTACATTCGTAATATATAAATTTTATATTCTGTATTATTTTCCGAAAGTGCGTCGATGGATATCCTTACTTGAACCGATGTCCATCGGGCCTGCACTTCGATGACATTAGTAAGTTTTGTACCTTCAAAAACGAAGCGCGATGCGGACCCATCGAGACCAGTAAGTAGATACTTTTATGTTACACAGATTAAATTAAGTTGATTTTGTGAAACGAACGGAGCAAGATTTAGAGAGGAAACTGCAAGTCTCCAAAAAGTTTTTCTAATGATTTTTCTGATGATATAATTATTATTTTTTAAACTCGACATTTCTAGTCTCTGTTTATTCGTCAAAGCATATAATTTCCGAGAGTCCAACGCAACATTCGTAGCCTCTGACAATGAATGGTCGTTTAATTTCCAGCACCAGCACCAATCACTGAACCGCCGACGGATTTGGCCGAGCGCTGTGACACGGCGAACTGTCTACTTCCGTACTGCTTCTGTTCCAGAGACGGCACGATCATTCCTGGCGGTCTTCATCCAGAAGAGGTAAAACGACTTGACTGCGAATTTTCGCGATGATCTATCGATTTATTTAAATGTAGATAAATACGATTCGAATAATTCCAGACGCCGCAAATGATAATAATGACGTTCGATGGTGCAATAAATCACAACAACTTCGATCACTATCAAAAGATATTCACCCAAGATCGTTTGAATCCCAACAACTGCCCATTGAGAGGCACGTTCTTCATCTCTCACGAGTACTGCAACTACAATATGGTTCAGAGTCTGGCACATGACGGTCACGAGATTGCGACTGAGACGATCTCGTGAGTAGTGTAAATATTCGGGGTGCATTAGGATCATTTCGCTGACGAGACAAATATTTTCAGACTCCAGAAAGGTTTGGAGGATAAAGGTTACGAGGAATGGGTCGGCGAGATGATCGGAATGCGCGAGATATTAAAACATTTCAGCAATATTTCGACCGGCGAAGTCGTCGGTATGCGAGCGCCTTACTTAAAACCTGGTCGCAACACTCAATATAAGGTGCTCGAGGACTTTGGATACATATACGATAGTAGTATAGGAATCTCGCCATTGAAAGTGCCGATCTGGCCGTACACCCTCGACTACAAAATCCCGCACGAATGTAAAGCGGGCACCTGTCCCACTAAATCGTTCCAAGGTAATAGAATCATGACAAAGATTTAGATCGATATTCATAATCTTATGTTTAAGACCGTCTTAAGTACATAAGATGTCATAAGCCAATCACAGAATCATATTAACATCTTAAGATATTTAAGATAATCTTGAAATAAGAATGAACTATGAATCCCATTAGTCACAACTATTCAACTGGAGTAGCAATACAGGAGTATAAAAAATTATTAATAATTTAATGCAATTAATACACAATAGCATATTTGATATGGTAATTCTAAAGAAACGTTTATGCATTATCATAGGCATTTGGGAGTTACCGTTGAATGCGCATTATGTGGAGAATTATGAAGGTGGACACTGTCCTTACTTAGATCAATGTGTTCTTCATAATCACGATCCCGAGGAGGTGTTTGACTGGTTACAGGAGGATTTTAACAGATATTACGAACAAAATAGAGCGCCATACATGATGCCTTTCCATACTAATTGGTTCCAAATCAAGGAATTAGAACGCGGTCTATCGAAATTTCTCGATTGGGTGGTAACGCTGTGAGTCAAAATACATATATATATATATATGTATATATATATATTTATAAAAAATCTCGATATTTGAAAATAAATATTGCATTTTTACAGACCTGACGTTTACTTTGTAACCGCCACGCAGGCGTTAACATGGATGACCGATCCGAAACCGATTAAAGCTCTGCATAACTTCGAAGGATGGTCATGTAAGAAAAAAGAGAATTTGCCCGGACCACCGTGTAACAATCCACACAAGTGTGCTTTAGATTTCAAGCCTACCGAATCAAATTTCACAACGACTAGGTAGAAATTTATTCAACTGTCGATAACACATAAAATTACGAAATAGTAATTAAATATTTTAATAATCGTAACTATATTTTATCAATTGTAACAGATATATGGAAACGTGTAGAGAGTGTCCAAACAAGTATCCTTGGTTGGGAGACTCGAAGGGTACAGGGCTATACAGTGATAATTACAATCCTGAAAAGAAATAGGAGTGTCACTTGAGTTAGATTTAATTTAGTGCAAACGATTCGCGTTTCGTTGTTATCAAAGTAAATGTCTTGATGTGTCTGCGATATAGACTTATCGATTACACACATGTTAAGCATCTTACTGTTTAATATTGGAGAAACCTCATAAAATTTTAATTTGTATTTCAAATATACATACGAATCAGTATACGTAAACTTATACTTATATCTTCATATACGACATATACACTGAAACCTCGAAATAGTATGAAAAATCCCTTCCGCGTTATGAGTAACATGAGGGGGAGTAACAATAGCTACTAAAATTTTGAATTTCATAGTTTTGAAGTGAAGTAGGCCTACACAGCAAATGTATCAAAAATATAACTTAGATATATCTTAAAGATATATTTTTGGGATATGTGATATCTCTTTAGGTTATCTGTCTGATGTATTTCGGAAATTTTTGCTGTGTGGGGAGATAACCTCGTTATAACGTTCAGATCTCCGAACTGTACGCTATTACGAGGTTTCAGTGCACTTACTCGACAAAATTCGCATCTATTGATGTTAAGTGTGTACTGCTCAATCTGAAAGAGAAAATAAAATGTTTCGCGATGCTACACAAAATCTGAAAAATCTGTCTTTTATTTCTAGAGGATAGCAACAATTTTATAATAATTTTTCTTATATACAAAAATTTGAATATTACGATTCCCTAACTTAAAAGTACAATAAAAGAAATAGAAGGGCTTGAGAGAATAGGCGCTGGTACAAGTGCGCTAATTGTACAAAAACATCTCTCAATATTTACACGTTAAGAGTATAGAAAATTTATTAAGAGCCAGAAGAACAACGATAATCGTTAAACAACGATATAATATCGTATGTTTTGGTTAGTCTCCTAAGCGGTAATAATAGATGCAAAAATTACATTACCTAGTGTAAAATGATTGGAATCTTGGTGAAAAAATTTCGCTGAAATTATTTCATATTTTGGAACATTTCAGCGAAATTGTTGAAATTTCACTGAGAGTAAATTTTTCAGCTATCATACTGAAAAATTGTTGAAACTGAACTGAAATTTTGTTGAAATTTTTGCTGAAATTTTTCTGAAATATTGCTGAAATTTTGATAAAAATTTTTCAGTTAAAAATCGTTGAATTAAACTGAAATTTTTTCGAAGTGTTTCAAAACATAAAAATAATTTTAGCGAAATTTTTTCACCAGGGAAAATGTAAAATTATTTGTTGCAACCTCTAGAGAAGCCAACTAAGTTTTCTCTGTTGAGAATACATTTTCTCATGCCAGTTACAAAGCTGAATGGAACTCACGATGTCGATGCCTTTAATTACGAAATTGAAGTATTTTTATATGAGACAATGGATGTACAAAGAACTCATCCGTAAAGAAAACACTAAACATAGTGCGAACTGCTATTCAAATGTCTTGATGGCAAGTCAACAATTATAGATTTTTATCAAATTATAAAATAATAAATATAATATGTACAGTACGGAATAATGTGTTGACCATACATCGTCAAACAGTAAAATAAAAATTAATAAAAGGTCGCCGATCATTTAAAAATCAAGTCATAATAAGAACACAAACTAAGAGTTGTTAAAATAACTATAATATACTTGGTTTAGCAGTTCTATGCCTGTTTTCAGATTAATGCTAGGTATTATTCTGTTGTTTTATATTGATCATCTCTGATATCAGTCTCTTATTGTAATTTTGCTCTAATATCCGAAATTTTGACGTCTTCTCAACTGAAATCATGATGCAATCTATGATGTGTAATTACAGAATGTGTTGTTGTATTTCTATTAATATGAGACCTGTGTTCTGAGATTCTCGCTTTTAATTGTTTCCCCGTTTATTCAACATAGGTCGCATCACAGTCCTTACAAGAGATTTTATAGACAACGTTCTTTTTGAGTTGCAAGCACCGACGAGATACTACAGTCGCCCTGACTATTGTGAGCAGGACGGGCGTGTGTCTTGCCTGCTTCGGGTATTGCATCATCTTGCCCACATTTTTTGAAGAGCGTTTCCAGCTTCGACTGTGATTTGCATTACATCATTATTTCATCTATTACTCTTTTAGACTTTTGTTACTCACCGCATTAGCGGCATTTTCGATTCTGGCCGTATCGACGCTGTATAGAGTCGGGGCCATTCACACAAGAAGAAGACCGACGAGATACTATTAAAGACCGATATCCTTACTGGAGTTTGCGTCCTTGTTAATATTAAAGTAATTAAGAGTTAAAAAACTGATATTGTACTAATTTTATGATTTATTAGTTTTGTAGACGTGTTTATTGTAGAAGTGTATATGTATTTAAAACTCGCAATAATACTCGATTTTTCTTTAAAATTGTGATTTCGGTGTTATTGTCAAAGTTTGCTTATCAACAGAGATGATAATTGCAGAGAAAAAAATTGTAATTTTTCGGCAATATATAGAATATTATAGTTTTACAAGTATGCATATTTATTTATGGAGTATTTACGTAATAAAAAATTATGGATTTAATAATGTATTAGCCAAATATTTATATTAATAGCAAATTTATATCAATTGTCGATAATATCAGCGTTCTTCAATTATCTCCAGGCCCTTTTTATACCGCCGAAAATTTGCCCAGGGTTGACGGTCTTTAATAGTATCTCGTCGCAGGTGTCGCAGGTAGTGGATCTTTTTGTGCTCTGATAATGTTACCCAATTTATTTATGCTGTAAAAGGATACGACAGAAACCATATCTTTGATGACGTTTCTAAATTTTTCAGACAATGGACCTATACAAGGAATTGTAAACCGTGTTTTTAATTGATCGTCATTATTATTATTATTGCCATTATGATTATTGTCTTCATATAAGGATATTTTTTTTATTAGCCAAGATTTTGTCTTTCAGCCATTGTCGAAAAAATAAGTTGCATCTATATTATTACCGCTGAAGAAGGTTAGAAGACTAACCGAAATACGAATTATATAATCGTTTAATGATTATCGTTATTCTTCCGTCTCTTAATAAATTTTCTATTAACTTGTAAATATTGAGAGATGTTTTTGAATAATTAGCGCACTTGTATCAGCACCCCTATTCTCTCGAGCCCTATAGGCTTCTATTTCCTTTATTTTCTTATGTACAACGTTCCTTATTTATTATATATAAAACAGTGTGTTGTTTTCGTTAGCCGAAACACTATGTATTATATATATATAGATGTATATTTTAAAATATATATACAATATGTCTACATTCATTGCATTGAACTGCACTGTCTGCATTGTAAGAGATACGCAATCAAAATGGTATAATCATCTCTAACAGTTTTCACATTAATTAACGCACTGGGGTCCATTTCTCCAACACTTGATTATACTTTACACGTTCTGGAAAAAGAAACAAGAGCAGCCATGTAATATTTTAAGTCAGATTATGATAAGCAGATATTTGGTGAACTCTACAGTTTTTTCTTTCAATACATTCACCATATTTTAGCTGGATTTTTGTTAAAACCGGGTTAGGTAATTTTTGTATTAAAAAGAACAATGAAAACTGATTAATTTTTGGCTTAATTTATAGTATTAAATTAATAACAAACGTTTGAGTTTTACATAAAAATATGATATACACTATCACTCAAAAGTTTGGAGCACTCTATAATTTCTTCACTCTGACTTCTATCGTAATACTGCTTACTTTTTATTCATCGTGAATTTTACTACGTTTCATCGTTTGACTCCCTTTTGATCAATTTTTAATCTTGATTATCAATTCACACATCATTCTAAAATATCGACAACACGATGATTTATGATAAATATCATTCCACAATAACAACTATCAAGACTCAAAACATTTTTACTCAATAATTAATACTAATACTATAAATAGTATAAATCATGGATGTACCATATTGACTGTACGCAACAATTAAACTCATGGATAGAAAACAGTAAATAATCTTTATACTGTTAATTTTAGAATTTATCGAATTATATAATTTCATGATTTTATATTTTATTTTGTTTTACTGGATTATTGATTTATATAACATCTATATATATTTTTTTTTTCGCGAACATTGATAATGATCCGATTGTGTCGAAACGTTTGTTTTGTTTATAATTTTATGTTCATAATGATTATTTTCACATTTTAAATATTAAACGTTTTAACAAAATTGGCTCGTAGTTCTTCTATTTTACCATCGTCAATTTTTATTTTTAAACCTACGTTATTGGAATGAAATATGAGGTTTGTTCTCTGTTCCTGCACTGATTGCACTAGTTCAAAAAGTGTACACTAAAGCATTTTCTGTTCCCAAAATGGCATTAGAGACGGTGTTTTTTGTTCCAGTGCAACAGAACTCAGTGCACGAGTTCACTTACTGGTTGCACTAGATCTAGAGTCAGTGCAAGCAGTACAAGCATTAGTGTACACTAGTTCAGCCACAGAAAACAGACCTTGTATAAATAGTGCGAGAATTGGTAATTATTTAGAAGACACCCTTCACCTTCAATTTCAGTGAAATTATGCTCATTCGGCGCGTTTTTGCATGAAATAAAAGAATCTGGCAGTAAAATGTTGTGCCTAATCCCGCGAATCAAGATATTAAACGTTGAAGTTGACGATTATTGAGATTAGGAAATCTGTCAGATGCGAAATATCGCGATGAAAGCATGTGCTGCATTCACATTTTCCTGGCGAGATGAGAGTCGCTTCGCATAGAAAGTCATGTGTCCCTTGGCGGGGGGGGGGGGGGGGGGGGG